AAACTGAACATTTTCCTGCCTGCCCCTCTGAGAAATCTGAAGGACTAGATTGAGGCCATAAAATAAGTCTTTACGTAGAGAGTTTGATTTCACACAATCAAACGTCCCACTGTACTTCAAATTAAGGCGTTAATTGTTTCTTTATGATACGGATTCATGTTAAAAGATATATACAGTAGATATGAGAATTGTAAACACTCACATTCATATTAGAATCCGCCTCAAACAATTCCAGTCCCAGTTCAGTTCCAAAACTGACAAGTGGTATTTGTGCGGTGAGTTGCCGTCACAGAGCCCAAAAGGATGCAAGAAGACAAGTCCAACAAGCTACAACAGACAGAGACGTATCAGACTACAGAGCAAAGCTCATCCTCTGGGTTGCACCATAACAAAAATACAGCATAAAGCCCCTACTTTTGAAAGTCTTTACAAAATATACCACTACATACAGCGACCAACAGCAGGTTGCTTAAGTTTTAAATAATTGTGTATGTTCAGAGGACGAAAGGATTGTACGTTTAAAATGTATACGTATATAACGATTTTTTTTCAGCAAATCTTCACTCTCGAGCATCATTTTACGCTCCACCCAATTTCCGCATGGGTTTAGTCGGATCTATTAGGAAAAAGGGGGATGAAACAGGCAAATTGGCCAAAAGAGAGTTGAAGAAAAGAAAAAAGAAAGGATCCACATTTTACTGCTCCGGTTTCTGGGCTGTGAGGTCTTTTACAAAAGCGTGTCCTAGAACAGTAATCCTGACTCTATCTACTGTACTGTCCACACACTGGGCTATCATGTGCTATTAGCCTGGTTTCTCCATGTTTTATAGGACTCAAAATGTGAAGTTTTTTTTGTGTGTTATATTGATTCATTTCTTCATCAGTAACATAAACGGTTTTGCTGTAGCAGAGGCCAAAAAACTGCCTCAGAGTGTAAAACTTAAAATGTACTTGGTGATACATGCCAAGTATGAGAAGATTCATCTAAACTAACAATTGATGATATTTTCATCAGTTGATCCACAGGTAGCACAATCTCTCCTCTGCTCAAAGCAAAGCTGACAGCACTGATGAAATATGAATTTCATTTGAGGTTTGGTTGAGATTTTGGTATATATATTTAGCAATTGGAATGTGCTTCTAGTTATGGATCACTACTAAAAAGCACGAATAATTATAATTAATTCATGCTTTTCTGTGATGAAAAAGAAAATACCAGTACAAAGGAACGTGATATGAAGGGAAATTGAATGTGGGCTGCATCATCACAGCTCTAATTTTTTGTTATCGGGCTGCTCTTGTAAATCTCTTAAGCCTCTCCAGTTGATTCAGAATGCTGCAGCACGTGTATTAACAAGAACTAAGAAAAGGGATCATATCACTCCTGTATTAACTTCTCTGCACTGGCTCCCTGTTAAATCAAGAATAGAACCTTCCGTTATCAAGCTCCTCTTTTGTGGAACCAGCTTCCACTTTTAGTCCGGGGGGCAGATTCGGTCAGCTCTTTTAAAGTAAAACTTAAAACGTTCCTCTTTGATTCTGCCTATAGTTAGGGCTGGCTCAGGTTAGCCCGGACCAGCCCGTAGTTAAGCTGCTATAGGCTTAGACTGCCGGGGGAATTCTTAGGACACGCCGAGCTCCTCCCTCACGCTCTCGTTCTACGATAATTGACGTTTTATTAATGCACATGACTAATTCAGCTTCTTTCCGGGAGTTTTTTTGTGCTTTCTCCCCTAGCAGGTCTCCGTAGATCGTAGTTCCTTCTGGACCCTGGTCCTGACACCTGCCGTGGCCCTGCTGACGCCTGCTGCTGCCATCATCATCATCATTATTATTTTAGATATTAATCATATTACTGTACTCGTAAACCAACATTACCCTCTCCTAAAGTCTCTGCGCTCTCCCTCCCCACAGGCTTCTGTAGATGGTGGTTCTATCTGATGGTGGTTGCCCCTGCAGTGGTCCTGCTGTGCGCCTGGCTTACTACTCACAATTACTTGAATCATTTCTGTCATAGGAATTGAATGTATCATGCATTGTTCATTCTGTACACATGGCATCCATTGTAGTCCCTCCTCTGACGTTCTCCCTAAGGTTTCTTCCCTTTTTTCCCTCTTGGAAGGGAGTTTTTCCTGTGCCGATGGTGGGTTTCGGGACAGAGGATGTTGTATGTGTACAGACTGTAAAGCCCTCTGAGGCAAAATTGTAATTTGCGATTTTGGGCTATACAAAATAAAATGAATTGAATTGAATTAATGATGCAAAATTCTGCATTCTGCTGTTTGTTTTTATTGTTCAGCGGGTCTGCCTCGGAAACGGCGTACATTTATGAATGACACCCCAGCTTAGTTCTCTAGGCGCAGAATATCAAAGTATCCAAGAAGGCAAATGTATTCCAGGTGCTGAGGTGAAGTGATATCACTCTCTCCTCTCGGTGCTCAGGCTCCCTTGAGGCTATTTTAATTTCCTCCATTTTAAATTGACATTTTATTGTTTTCAGCTGAAGACAAGTGATTGATTGTGACATACAATGTAGAGGAAGAAGATGGAGGGAGTAAAACATTGAGGAAAGCAAATGAAAGAGGAATAAATTGAGACTGAAGAGCTGATGGAAGGAAGCTGATAGAGGAGAGGGGAGAGGGACAGCACAGATTCAGGAGATGGGCAATCAAGTGGAGATGTAGGGATGCAGTTTACTGCACTCATCTTTTGTCTATTCTGACTGTGGCTAATGTTCACTTTGCAAATTGGGCGAATGCAACGTAAGGAAACCTTGAATTTGTATTTCAAACGCTAATGCGCTTGAGTCAAATCAAAGAAAACACAGATAATAACCTAGTGTGACGATATTGTTGAAGCCCCCCCACCACCGGGACCTTCAAGAGGACCGCAGGTTCATGCATGCAAACATAACCACGTAGCGCAACATTTCTATTTCTACGTATTTGGTCATCTTTGCATGCACAATTTTTACATCAGCAATTCCACCATACACAACTGCAGACGTACTCTCACAGGGTGCAGAGCGCAGCGTTTTCCTGGCCAGGAAACCAAGGTTACAGAGGAAGGAGCCTCCTGAAGCTCTTGAGAAGAGACCTACCTGTCCTCCAACATCACAGCCGGTACCCTACGGACAGGTACTGCCAGAAAAGCGCCATGGCAACCGCCTCGAACAACCGTCACAGGTTCAACCAGCAATCAAAATCAATGTGAGATTTCACATTAATGTTGAATGATACAGAATAATCAGTAAAAGAGTCTTTATAATTTATTAGATTGACCTGATGAGGATCAGAGGTGATAAGAGTAGGGCGTGGGACAGCGCCTCGGGTGCTCCCTTGCGTCAAACTGGACATCGGCACAGTCTTTGACCTCACGTTAAAACACTAGAACTCTTATTTTTTGTTAAGTTGGATTGAAAAAAATACTGTAACACGCATTTGGAAATATAAGGCAGGCCACCACGGAGGCTGACACAGATGTGCCATCAGGTGTCTGCATCAGTTAGCTACAACAGAAAGTCCTGGTGTTTCTAGTCACGTGTCCCAAATCACTTTGTCCCCACAAGGCTTGAAACGTGATCACAAGAATCTTGAACTGGCCTCAGAACTTGATGGGAAACCAATACGGAGAAAACACCCCGCCGAAAAAAAGCCAATCTTGGCTGCATCATTCTGGACCACCTCGAAGGCTTGGGGGTTGTTGTGGGGAAGCTGAAAAGAGACCTGCAGTAGTCAAAGCGGAAGGAGTGACTGATGGAGTTCAGCTCAGCTGGGAGGAAAAAAAGAGAATTAAACTTTCAGATGTTGGTGAAGACTCAACGTCTGGATGGAAGGTTTGACAGAGGGGGATAGAGAGCCAAAACACTCTGACAGCCTCGGGACAACGCCAACTTCTATGGATTTGACGCCATTTTGCTGAAAACAGACTGTTCATCACAGGAGAGCAGTCACTGTGACCCGTTAGCCGGAATGGCTGCAATTACGAGCATAACCACCAGGCTGATGTAATTACATAATACTCATAGTCCTTTTCCTCACTCTTTCAATCCCGAGTTTTCTTTCGCTCGAGTGAAAGCCTTTAAAAACCAAGCAGGACTGTGAAGGTCAACTTGAACATCTGGAAACTGAGCTACGATTACAGCTGTGAAACATAAGCCACGCGACCCAACCGGCCACGTCTCAGGAAAGCCAGCGCAACATTTCACAGCAGCTTTAGATGCCGCGGAACTGTACTGTCATTACGATGCCTTTTACAGACAAAAGCAGGAAAATATACAGACCGTCTGCATCAACCCCCCCACGCACACACAGAATAACCCCACCCCATCGTCACATTAAATGGTTATTCTGTTGGTTTAAGTGGTGGAATTAACCAAAAAGTCCAGAAGCCCACATAGGGCTCAATATGAAGCCAGTCCCCCCGTCCTCCATTCCTGCTCAAGCATATCTCTATGTGGGCTAATGTAAGAATGTTTTCTTTACTCAATCCATAACAAATATAAACATTTACAACACAGGCTTAGTTTTCATGGACGGTCTCAATAAGTACGTCCCACATTGAGTTTACATTTCATACAGATATGCGTTGTGCCTGAGCTACACGCTATGAAGGCAGTGAAGTGAATCTAAAAACTAAATAAACCTACAGGGCAGGAAGAGATACTGTGCAGCTTAAAAGTGGAGGTCATTTTGAAAAGACAATATAATGAGTAGAAACTCCCACATGGAGGTTTATTTTGAAAGGACACTGCATCTACCCGCCTTACCTTCTATGTCCGAGGGTGGGTGTCATAGTTTGAAGCATGAAGCCACTAAGAATCAATATTTGACAAGTTGGGAGTGCCAATGTATCGCATAAAGAGTTTCACCTACTGTATTTGATCTGAAATTAAAACAGAGAAGACATGAATGTCAAATTGAGAGACAAGGATCACCTTTAAAGCGGCCACGCAGACAAGTGTGCAATGAGGCATCAATAACAGCACAGACACGGGGAAATGTAACAAAAAAGACATCATTTATTTACAAATAGATACTTCGTTGAGTGACTCTAAAGTTTTTGTATAAGATTGTCATACCAAAACACGGTTCAGTCGTCTCCAACTTGAAATGTACAACAAGTGTGACACTGTGAGCATAAAATACATGCACATATCTGTACACTCTGTTCCCATCACCAAAATAGATCTGATTACAAAAGATAGTGCTCAATATAAACATCTGTGGAGTTTGGTTACCCCGGCTCACTTCCTCTACTCTTTTTTCACAAGTTCTGAAATACTCCTCCTTTGGGTGCTGTGTATTAAAATAACAGAGCTGCCAAAGCTCTGCAAAAATAGACTCAGCTGTGTCTCTCGCTGTTGGAATATCAAAACAGCTTTTCCATCTGCATACTGACGTGTCGTTGCTGGCTGAAGACAGGGTTTGGAAAGAATACAAGTGCCTTTTTATTTCTTTTTGTCTCTTTCTGTAGCATAACAGGCCAAACTGGTGTTTCCACAACCCGATTGAGTCGGAGGTTAAGCCGCCGACAGGGAACGGAAAAAAGCTCAAAAGACTCATTTGAGTTTGGTGGAGCAAGAGCAAGAGCACAGAGTTATACAGAAAATATATAGATATTGGAATCAGCTGATGGGGTGGCAGGAACAAAGAACTGCTGTGGGATTTGACTGGTGTAGTTTTCTTTGTTTTCTCGTTAAAGCCACTGTGCGTTCGCTGTCAAATGGCCCCCACCAGTGGCAGCATTGGAAAAGACATGGCAGAGAGTTATGGTAATGACCCCAGGTATGTCCGTCCCCTGGACGCTGACAGCTTTGTCAGACGGACTTGCAGTTTATGACAGAGAGAACATGAGAGAATACACATCATCGCAGTGACACGGACCACGCATGCACATAATATTCAGGTTTGTGCCCTTATTCTGAAAAAACATATTCCTACAAAGATTACAACATGTAATGATACAGGGTTCAACAATAAGCACCGTCTGATTCCCCGGGACAAATTGAAGGACCCCTCGAGCTAGTGGGTCCAGAACTAATTTACCCAGTTAGGTCAATGGTCAACAAAACTGGTCTTGGTTGTTATTTGATAACCACTAATCAAATAACAACGGTTTGCTATCAGGACACTAGGATACAAACTATCTTACGTGATGTATTGGAATTGTATGTTAAACCTACACACAGTAACATTGTACAACATCGTACAGGTGTGAATGGATTCAAGGGAAAGTTACATTTCTATATGGGCCAATTTAATTTGAACACTGCAAAACTGTGAAAACAGTGAAGAACAAGAAACCTGGACGACCACGTCACAAAATGTGTTTGTCCATCACTATAACACCCATTTGTACGGGAATAACATCCTGGGGCCAAGGTGTTCAGAACTACTGTTCAAAAGCCCACTGGAGTGGAGCAGAGAAGCACATGACGCAAGAGGCAGATGAAACTAAAGCTCACATGCATCCATCCCCAGTGACATTCTCCCCTCGGCGTCCTCCTCCCCACGAAGTTGGGTGGAAGCATTAGTGAAAATGAGCTCGAGCCGAATGCAGATTTCCCCTCAGCGAGGCTAAATATCCAACTGTGATATTAAAAACGAAAAAATGTAAAAGGATTATAAACTATGTAGATGGAAAAGTGACAGCGTCGTGACTCATCTCAAAAACAAGAACCATAGTGCATGTACACTGACTGTAGAAGTGCTGTTCTCCTTCAGTACTGCACCAAGTCTAGGATCTTAACGTAAAAGGAATAATCTTTGAGGCCAAAAGGGCAAAACAAATGATGTAAAATGACCCAAACCCAAAAGTTTCCAGCTAAACAAAACTCACATTCGGGATCTGTGGTGTCACCACTAAATCCTAAAACCTGGGGAAAGGGATATCCCTTCACCCACAGGAACCCGACCAGCAGCAGTAAAACCCTTGAGGTATTTTACTAAGTAGTAAACAGTAAAACAACGTTTCTCTACAGCAGATAACAACTCCAGATGACATGTGGGCGTCACAAACAAGCCCACATGTCATTTCAACAGCACACCTGTGCTCCAGTGCAGCTACAGCAGAGTGGGAGGGGTTGCTTTATGGACCACAAAGCAGTGCAGCCATAAGAACCACATTCTCCGACAACCCCCTTCAGGGATTTCCATGTGTTGTCACTCCAGAGATGCTAAAAGGCATCAGAAAGATAGTTCAAGTCTATAAGAACCTAATAGGAGTTCTGTATCGAGACACCGGCCTGGAGCTGCTTCCTTAGGATTCACCTGAACCCAACTAGTAAGATCCACACCCGAGAACCAGCCACACGCAGCAAAAAGAAACCAACCCGACCCCAAACCCCACATGTATCAGAAGGCTACCACTCAGGCCTTCTGCGGATAGACCTGGCCATGCTTTCTGTTGGACGAGGGGGGGCGCGGACGTGGTCAGATAAGTTGTGAACAAACCAACTGATTATATAAACCTTGTTTGTGGTAAAACTAAAAAGCAGCCCAGCTAATACTGGATTTATTTGGCCAATGCCAAGATGTTCCCGTTAAAAACTGATGGATTGGCCAATGTTTATGCATTTTACAACAGCATGAGCCTGCTGAGAAATATCAGGGCACGGTATCCTGTCTCATTGGTTGGATTAATAAATGAATAAAAAAGACAGCTGCTGCAGCACTAATGTATGCGTGCACTACTGCAAATACAGAAGATCAAAGCTGACTTCTTTGTGATATCGCTTTGATTCTGCAAGGACACGCTTATTGTAATAATACGGGCATTCATCATAGACATTCATCCCCACCTTCCTAAGCAGACTACTCAGCTGAACGCTTAACTTGGCAAAAAAAAAACCTGACAATAGAAGTGTGGGGCAGCAAGAGGGGGTCAGGAGAGGCAGAGGGAGCTGGGGGAGGAGGTGAGAGTGCACACCGGTGTGGGGAGGCCATAGTAGGCGGGGTCGGTGAAGGGGAACAGGCAGAGCAGGAAGAGGAGTACCCCCATCAGGTAGGAGGTGAGGACGGCGAGGCGGTGGGGGTGCTCCATTGCCGTGGTGATAGCCGGGAAACCCATGTAGTTACAGAAGGAGTGGCAGAGCACCGGGCCCATCAGGTGACCTGCAGCAGAGAGGAGACATTCACGAGTAATGACGTCATTATATGTTGCGCTTTTTTTTCGTCTTCTTCTTCGAAGGTCCTTATTGAAGCTGCTACTGGAATTGTAACATTATACTGCCACCTCGTGTTGTTAAGTAAATCCTTCATGGGTCATGTCCTTTGCTGTGTTAGGGTTAATATCTCTTTTTGTACTTTAAAACTGAGTTTTTCCAGTGGAGCTCCGTTGCCTTTTTTTTAATACCGCCATTGGCATAGCAACTAGAAGGCATTTCCGTTAGTAGTCGTGACTTAAAATACATTTTCTAAGCGTTTCTCCAATTGCCTCAATGCCAAGAGTCATTCTGCACCGCAGTTGTCATAGTAATGTTTTCTAATTATTTAAACAGCCAAGTGTGAGTGAGAAAATTACCTTCAGACCATCTTTATATAGTTATTATTATTATTCCCCTTGACCCCCACTGGTGTAGAACTATATTTGATTATCTTAGCTGATGCCATTAAAGTTATGACCATGTGTTTTAAGTACTTCAGCATTGCTAATCCATGTATCGTAACAAACCTCTTAGAGATTATATATTTATATACATCTGAAAAGCAGATGTCTTTAATATTGTTCAACAGTAACCTTTTAATGACCTTCTTCTCTCCTTTGAGTGAAGGTGGATGCTTGTGCCAGATTCAAAGAAATCCCTTCAAAGCATTCCATATATCCACAAAAACAGACTCTTGACAGATGCTACAGCGTTAAGGCGCTGGCATGCTTCTGCGGCTGCATCTTTTCGCGCAGTCGTGTTGATGGACTCATTTTGGTTCATGGTTCTAAAAGGCCTGTGGGTGTTGCAGAGCAATTCACCGCCAGAACAACAGGTGGAGTAACATTTTTTCCACGGCTTTGTCGAAGGCGACCTAGAGACTGGCGTCTTTGTGTGTGGAAGTCATTGGTTTGTTTATTTACTCTTTTGTTTATCTCCCTCCATGAATCGGAGGCCATCTGCGCGTCCTTATAGTCCGCTAATGGGTTGTAGAAGTGGTCATATTTCTGTATTTCTCACCTGTTCGGATGAAGAGGAAGGCAGTGTAGGCCCCAAACACCGCCGTGTAGGAGAACTGGAACACTGTTATGGACCGAAAAAAAACAAAAAAAAACACCATCATCCACCTCCTTCCCTCCTCACACAAACAACAGGAAACGGGGGACACGTCGGGCACTCACCTGCAGCGAGGAAGATCCCCGACAACGTCCCCTGTCTGAACCTCAGCAGCTCGATCACGTGGTGGAAGTGAGCTGGAGGAGGGACGGGCAATGTTTGAGACTGTGCAGCCCCATTGCAGGGTCACGGTTAGGCTGTGTCCTCAAAAGTGAGCTGATTTTAAATAATGTTTTCACTGTTTTTTTGTCAGAACAGTTTCAATGACAAAATTCAATATTTGATGAATAATGAGTAAATATCGCATGCTTTCATGTGGATTTGTTTGTGCTCCATCTTCAAACCTTGGAGAGACATCTTGATCCTCCTTGCGGCAGTGGCATACAATGGGAAGCCTGTGGCGCTTGTCACTGAATCTGTGGCAACTCCGTCGGCAGCGTCACAACAGCGAGCCGAGTGGGCAGAGCCACATTTCCGAGAACGGCCGTAGTTTGTATGACAGCTCAGCTGCAGTAAATCAGCTTTATGATTTTAGTTGAGCCACCTGAGCCACCCGTTCTCTTAGAGCAGGGGTGTCAAACAAATTTTAGGTTTGGGCCAGATCCTGCCCACTTTGATCTCAAGTGGGCCAGAGCAGTGAAATCCTAGGCGATGGTGTTTAGTGACACCTCTAAGTGCAAGCGTCCGTGCAACCATTAACTGCAAAGGACTTTCCTCTAAGTATTAAAACAAATCCTTATATTCACTGTGTTGGTTTGTCCTACTACTTTATGAGCCTCTGAAAATGAGGGCGACTTCCAAAATGGCTGTAATGCCTAAACTGTTAATGTCTATTTGTAATATCCATTGAATTAAAACTGGAAGTCTACACTTTACACTCCGCTCAAATCATTTAGAGTTGGGGGAAGAGGCAACTTTTTTAGAAATGGTGTTTAGTCCTAATAGTTAAGGCCCTGACGGGACGTGTAACACTCACATACCACCACCCTGCAAAGTTGATATGCATAACAGGCTAGCAACAGGATGGAAGCAGATAGCAATATGATCATCTTATTGGAGTGATACCGCCAGTGTTTCTCTGACCATTATACAGGCGCCGTGGATGAATACTATGAACCTCACACTGGCTGAACTCACCCACTCCGAAGAAGAGCGGGCAGGTGAAGATGGCGGCCAGAGGCCCCGCACAGGGCACCAACATGGGCAGCATGCAGGCCCTGAACACCAGCTCCTCCGTCAGCGGCGCCACCACCTGATTCCTCAGCCAGCGCATGTCGCTAAAGCACAACATCCAGAACGACGGGTCTGCAGGAGGACATAGACAGAGGAGGAGCTAGAGGACACGCTTGGAGCTTTGTACAGACATATGGGGATTTGAAATGGCGCTATAACTTCGACCCAAAAGAGAGACAATCCTGCATGTTTTCCGTCTCACCCAAAGCCACCCGGATCCCATCCATAAAGCTCCAGGGACAGTCCATCGCTAATTGCATGAGGGGCCCCAGAAACAGGACCTGGACACAGAAGGCAGGAGTTTGGATTTCTCAGATATCTACTTATGAAAAGAAATATGACTTGTTTATTTAGCCAGTTCGTGTAAGGCAAGAGAAAGATGCCATTGATAGTTGGTTTTGCTTAACAATGGCGACTCAGGTTGTTCTCCCCCATTGCTGCCACAGCTGTCAGCAGTGTTTACTGTGTGTTTTTAGGTTGTTAACGAAAAGGTACAATAATAACTGTGTGCTACACAAAACATCCAGTCTTTTTCTTTACCATTTAGTGTAACAGAGCAGGATTCTTTTCATCGGTCAACCCAACTGAATTCCGTAGTGGGATCCTTCAAAATCTGCTTATGACTGATCGTGGAAGATTTGTTCCTTACCATGGTGAGCATCAGAGGAAGCATGATTGCAGGAATGAGGCCTTCAAACCGGATCCCCATAAGAGCGAGTAATGATGGGACAGTCTAACACACAAACGCACACAAGAACACTAGTCTCAGTTTGATGATACGACAACGCATGTGTCAGACTGCAACATGCAAGAACAGCACATGAATGGCCACATGAATAAGGGGGTAGTGGTTAAAAGGGGCAGAACGTTTCCGTTAAATTTCCAGAAGCTTTCCATGGGATGTTAAGCATGGGAATGTTTTTTTTTTTTACGAAAGCATATAACAGGGAACATAAATGTCGTTGAGAAAAGACTCTGCAAGCAGAGCTCAGCTGGACCCTGGAGGCAGCCAGCAGGGAACATTGTCTGCCACAAACGTAAATATTTGTTCTGTTGTTTTTGAATGTCTGTCATTACGTAGCGTATTGATTACTTGGTAAACTGAACGTTGATGTCGACCTGACAGAAATCAGGGAAAAATACCAAAACCAGAGGCTTGGACTTAGTTAATTGTACATTCAGAACTTTTTGGGGGGGAAGGGGTAATCATAGGAAATACACTATTTTATTTAACCTTCATGATCTTGTTGTTCACTGAGAGAATACAGTTTCTAGTTACAAAATGTTGTTTTGTCATATGGCATGGGAGATACAGTTAAATTACCCCAACTTGTCTGGTTTATTCCTGTTAATTCACACAGAAAGTGTCCAACTTTCAATATTCCCGTTATTTTGCAACCCTAATAAAGGGTTTTATTCAGTAGTTTACGAGGCATGGACTCACCCGGACGCCAGTGAATTCTCTCCATGCCCACACAAAGAGAGGCGACAGGCCCGACACAATGAGTACACTGGTGAAGCGTCTCTTTATCACAGTGGGGTGATCCCTGGGAAAGGACCAGCAGAGACATTAATCACAGCCAACTTTCCTGTGAGGCCCCCAGCAACGTTTGTACCACCATGGCTGGAACATAATGACATTGCTAAAGAAAGAGCTGCGCTACGGTGTCACTGTCAAACACAGTGTGGGCTCAGGGAGTAAATGAGAACACAGATGAAAACATTAAAAGATTTGGGGCTTTACTGGTGACGCGCATTGAGCCCCGCGGTTGGGTAAATGTATCAGAAGGAACGTTGTCATTATGAACCACGTAGCAGAGACCAACCACAGAGTGCTTGTCCGGCTCACCTCGGCAGCTCGCTCCTCCACACGTACAGACTCCCGACATATGAACACGCCAGCAGCAGACAGGCGAGCACCGATATCCAGCACAACCCAGCCGGCGGTACGAAGCCGCCATTGCTGGGTTTCACTCCGTCTGTCAGAAGGTTTTGCGATAAGTCCTTCTGCTGTGCCATGACGACGGCCGGTTGAGACTCAAGCAAACGACTCCTCGGTACCGGGGCGGTCGGTGGACCATCTAAAGAGATAACATGTCCACGTGAGTTGTCAATAGCCTCTTTTCGAAACGTGAGCTAAAGTTGCTAGCTGGACGGCTAGCTCCAGGGGCGCTTCCTAATGACGTCATTATATGTTGCGCTTTTTTTTCGTCTTCTTCTTCGACGCTGCTACTGTAATTGTAACATTATACTGCCACCTCGTGTTGTTAAGTAAATCCTTCATGGGTCATGTCCTTTGATGTGTTAGGGTTAGTATCTCTTTATTTTGTACTTTAAAACTGAGTTATTCAGTTGTTTTGATCTATTGTCTGATTTTTTGTGCTATTCAAATCCAACTCTAAATCTTTTGTCGATATTAACTTATGATTCGAGAAAAATTGTTTAATCCTGACCTTGGAAAAAGGAACAAATCATTCTCCAAAAATAATCAAATTTCGAATTCATAATATCAAATACTGAACTTACACTTGTCTCTCTTTTACGCATCCTAAACAAAAAACAGTAACAAAGATAGCTGTTTTGCATTATCTTTAACAGCTAAATTGTTAGCCACAGGTGAGTTATGAAATACATATTTGTGTCACGGTTTGGGTTCTTTTCCTTTCCTCTTATTTTGTTTTGACGCGACCAGTCACAAGAGACACACATGGCTTAAATACACTAGGGAGGTGCATGTGATTGGACACAGGTGGAAACAATCAGACAATCACAGGGGATGACAGGACAAGGCAGGAAGTGAAGTTACCCAGGGAGACAAGAGGCAGAAAACTAAGAAATAAGACAGGAAATAAACCGCACCGGGACAATTTGTGTGCAGATTTATTAATGAGATTGTAGCCTTGAGTCTTGTAGTCTCTGATGACATACTTTTTTTGTTTTTTGGGAACTGCAACTATATACATATTCACCAGATGGCATCAAAGTAATGCATGTAGTTGCATTCATTTGAATTTAAACACGTAGTTAATTAAAATGTGATAATCTGGGTTATATTGTACTTTGCGTGCAATATCTGTGAACAACAAATGCAATACACAAGCCTTACATCAAAGTCAGAGGGATTCAACTTCTGAACAGCATGCATGTACATCTGTAGTACCAAAATACCATGAATATCCATGAGCTCACATTAATGGACATTTCGGTCCGAACCATCTCTACAACTAAAGTTCATTGCTACAGATACATACAAATGCAGAATGTAAAGGAAAATTGACCCATTTTAGTATAAATCATTATATCAATATGTGTAGACTTAGCAGTATTGGTACACAACAACGCAAACCAGGTAACCCAAAAGTTGTTCCCAATGAATTGCTTCTAATGGACATACTTAGCATCAACAAATGATTCATCAATAATCAGTTAGGTATTTGCTCCTTGAGTGATGCATTGGTGCATTACAGTTTTTTTCTGAATACTTAAGCGCTAATCGTGATTCTTGTAGTACAATTTCTAAAACTATTAATACGTATAGTAAAACCACTCACTGAGTTTGCAAAACAAAAAGCACAAACACTGATTTGCACTCAGTTTGCAATTTTGTAACACACACTTTGCAAAACTGTAGGCACAATTCACTGCACGATACTCTTTTAGCAGAACTTTAAACACAACTCACTGCTTACACTCAATTACCAAATTTCCAACACACAAAATTATACACATGTATGGCAATCATTAACACTAAGCCGAGGGAGAGGATGTGGAGGTGAAGAAGCGAGAGGGTTAGAGGAAGTTAGATGAAGAGGACAATGAGGAGCCAAAGGGGACAAGGAGGGGAAAGAGGAAGGGTAAGAAGAGTAAAAAATAGAATAACTGATGACATCAGAGCTACAATAGTGGACCATGTCATCAACCATGGGATGACCCTGAGGGAAGCTGGCCAACTGGTTCAGCCTAATTTGAGCCGCTACACTGTGGCAAGCATCATTAGGACATTTCGAAATGAGAATCTGTAAGTACTTTGTAGCACTGCCATACTCCACAGAACCACAACAGTACCATACATGCAAAAATACTGAAATTGGTACTTTACAGAATTGCTAGATGTCCAGATGTCGGGGGCAGAGGAAGAATGTTCACTCCAGAGCAAGAGACCCATATAGTGAACATGATGATTGCCAATAATGCAATAAGACTGCGCGAAAATACATCAGCGCATAATTGATAATGACACCATCTTTCAAAATATACACAGGGTCCACAGTGTCGGGACCCTGGTCCTGACACCTACCGTGGCCATGCTGACGCCTGCTGCTGCCATCATCATCATCATTATTTTAGATATTAATCATATTACTTTACTCATAAACCGACATTACCCTCTCCTAAAATCTCTGCGCTCTCCCTCCCCACAGGCTTCTGTGGATGGTGGTTCTATGTGATGGTGGTTGCCCCTGCAGTGGTCCTGCTGTGCGCCTGGCTTACTACTCACAACTACTTCATTACTATCATTTCTGTCATAGGAATTGCATGTATTATACATTGTTCATTCTGTACACATGGCATCCATTGTAGTCTGTCCATCCCGGGAGTGGGATCCCTCCTCTGACGTTCTCCCTAAGGTTTCTTCCCTTTTTTCCCTCTTGTAAGGGTTTTTTCATTTTTTGGGGAGTTTTTCCTGTGCCGATGGTGGGTTTCGGGGCAGAGGATGTTGTATGTGTACAGACTGTAAAGCCCTCTGAGGCAAATTTGTAATTTGCGATAATGGGCTATACAAAATAAAATGACTTGACTTTACTTGACTTGACTTAAGCATTTCTGCACTAAGTCGTGTACTTGCGCGCCACAGCATAAGAATGAAGCAAATTTACAAAGTTCCTTTCGAGAGAAACACAGAACGTGTAAAGCAACTGCGATATGACTGTGTGCAGGTAAGCTATAGTGTCATTGGTTCTGAATTTGGAAGTGCATACTGTAGTGCTGTGCATGGGCCTGATGTGTTGCATTTGCTTTGTATTGTCCAGAGAGTAATGGAACTATAAGCAGATGCCATGGGACATGAGCTACTTTTTGTACATGAGGCCGGTTTTAACCTCGGTAAAACCAGGAGACATGGCAGGAACATTATTGGACACCGTGCCATCATCAATGTCCCAGGACAACGTGGTGGTAACATAACCATGTGTGCAGCTATAAGCCAAAATGGTGTTGTTCACCATCATGCAACCATAGGCCTATACAACACTGCACACATTATTGCATTCCTGGACACCTTACATGACATGCTCACTGTTCAGAGACCAGAGCATACTCGATATGTCATCATATGGGACAATGTTAGTTTCCATAGGGCTGCTTTGGTCCGCAACTGGTTTACGGACCACCCATTCTTCATGGCACTCAACCTCCCTCCATACTCTCCATTCTTAAATCCCATCGAGGAGTTCTTCTCTGCTTGGCGCTGGAAGGTGTACGACCGTCATCCTCATCAACAGGTAGCCCTGTTTGCAGGCAATGGAGGTGGCATGTGGAGATATTGACCAGGCATCATGTCAGGCCTGGATACGGCATTCAAGGAGATATTTTCCCCGGTGCCTTGGACTGGAGGATATCGCATGCGATGTGGACGAAATTTTGTGGCCGGACCCAGAAAGATGACATGATGTAAGCTGATTGTCTTTTTTTTTTTTTGTAACTATTTTGTGTTCTGACTTTGTCTTGGTTTTGATGAGTGTGAATAAACACCAATACTTGAAGTTTGGATCCTTGTATGTTTACATGACACTATGACAAAAGTATGACCTCAAATTGACATTTGTACACAGAGAAAGCAAAATGAATACAAAAAGTGTTTTGTATTCATACCATATCAGTGTGTAGTTGGCACATTGTGTGCTTAGTAGATGATGCCTTGTGTTTACTGTTTGATACGAAAACACCATTTTTACGAAGGTGTGAAGAGTTAATCTAGCTGTGTTCGCTTTTGCAAGAGAACTACAATGTTTTGATAATTGGGTAAACGGTTTTCTTATTTGTGTGTAGGGTTTTGCAAAAATAGCCAATAGTTACAAAAAATGTGCTTAAGCAATCAGAAAAAACTGTAATAAATCCATGAACGCACCAGAGTTGGGATCCCCGAAATTACTGGATGTACCTAAAGGCAGCACAATATTGGTGCGATAAATGCCTTTTAGCGAGAAACAGAAACAGAGCGAGAGAGAGAGGCAGGCGGGACATCGGGCGGTCTGCTCTTACATCCAACAGGAGTGAACTGGTCGCAGACTCCGGTGTAACGGAGGAGCTACACCCTGTGCTGCTTCTTGTTCTTCCACTTCTCCTCCTCCTCCTTCCTCTCCGCTCGTCCTCTCCATCCCTCCGCTCGCCAGGCCGCACGGGGACTGACGGAACCCGCTCCCAGACGCAAGCGCACACCCGCCCACCCAGAAGGAAGAATAACGCACAGATCCGAGCCAGTCCCGGACCTTCGTTGGCAAATATCAGCGGGTAGGGCCCCGTTTATCTGCTTCCCCTCCATCAGCTGTCTCGCATTGGTCCCGTCCCGCAGGAGCCGATGGCCTGCTGTCCGCTTTGCTGCTCTTCCAGCGACACCATTTGCGTTAAAGTCATATTTTTGTATGTGGATTTATCGCCCGACGTGAATCTTTATGAGGTAAATCTAAATTGACCCGTGATGGCGAACTGGAAGTGACGCAAAATGGGGCTACGATCTTACTTTCTTTCATTTTGCTTCATTATTACGCTTTGTTTTTTTTGGTTTATCCCGACACCACTGCTGTGTGTGTGTGTGTGTGTGTGTGTGTGTGTGTGTGTGTGTGTGTGTGTGTGTGTGTGTGTGTGTGTGTGTGTGTGTGACTGGGAGACGTGTGTTTGTGCGTAAGCAGGGCGTGCGTATGCTCGTGGCAGTGTGCGCTGTTTGTGCGGTGGAATCCCCCCTTGTACAAACTCGTCCGTCACGATGGACACGAAGCCTGTTTATGTCGCCGGCACCTGACATTTCCATGTTAAAAATGGGTGGGAAATGATTCAATTTTGCGTGGATCACACATTGCCCCCCATGTGCAAGGCCGATCCGGTTACTACACTGTCGTGGCTTGATAGAGAGCAGGAGAAGAAGTAGGTATGCATCCATCCATCCATCCACACGCAGCGTGGCTTGTGGGAACACGCAATCCGCTGCAATCCGCACGGCGCAGCAGGAGTAATGAGGGGGGGGGGGGCAGAGGCCATGTTTGTATCATCTGGACCCGAAACGAAGCCCTCTGGCGCACTAACATCTCCGTGTAATATTCCCCTGCTTCTGGATGGTTCTGGGATGCTTTCAGGAGGAGAGGATCGGTGGGAATATTGAGGGGTAATGAGCTCATAATGGCTCACAACACACACACACACACACACACACACACACACACACACACACACAAAAAGTAGTAGCAGTGGAGCTTTTCTGCTATTCATGATCCAGCAAAATTGTGTTTTTTTGTAGCTTGCTGTAGAAATGACAGTATAGACACATTGTCCTTAACATGCATGGGGATGTTTTGGTAAGGGGTGAGCGATGCTCAAATATGTAAAACCAGTTGGTACGGTGGGTGTTTTCCACTTCTGCATCAATGGATGTGATGTAGGAATGTATGAACATGTATGTTTCTAGACAGAAGAGATATAACACAATATTTCTATCTAGTAAAAAGTGGTATTGGTTCACATTAAAACCCACTTGTGTTTGCTCAAGTTGTGTTTGGTTGCCACAGCCTCACTTGGTCTGGTGTTACCAGTAGCCAGCGGCTGTCTGTTAGCCAACAGAATTAATGTAACTTTATAACTGACTTCTTTCTGTGCCTGTGTTACACTTTGGTTTGGTCATCAAACTGCCGGGCCAACCTTAAAGGGGTACCCTGTTGTCAAAAGCACGACATCGACAGTGATTGTTTCTCAATAAAACATGGCTTTTTTTTCAGGTTTAAACAGAGCGAGAAAACAAACTTTTCACTCTAAAATCTTTTGAAATAAACACAAGATAAACAACCGATACGTCGTAGCCTCCGCCATACTCCATCGCTACTACTGGCACGGAAAATGAAAGGTAAATAGTTCTGAGCCAAATTACTAATTTCACTATCAGAATTTGAGTAATTTAGTTTGATAACATTCATACAGTCCAGTAGATTGGCTGTTGAAGTTTTTATTCCCATTCAAGTTAGCACAAGGTCAGCTGTAAGATGCCATCTTACAGCTCTCCGCAGTAAGATGGCCTACAAAAATACCATGTATACTGTAAATATTCTCTCTTGATTTATTCCCTCAGCAAACATTGTAAACATGAGTATATGGTCTCAATCTACCGCATGTTTATTTAGTAAACGATGGTCCATTTAGAGTCAAACAGACCACAAAGCACAGGATGCTTTACCTGTCGACCAGATTAAGCCTGTTGTCTTACTGTGATTCACAGGTTGCTGCTGCTACGTCTCTCCTCAGCATTACAAACCTTTCTTGACTTTGGCTTTGTTTGGAAGTCTGTTATTATGAGTACCACTTAAAGCAGTGACCAGTGATGGCGGTAAATAAAAGCTAAATTACTACTCACTAAATCTCTTCTAGTTGTATCAGCAGTTGGTGTAGCCGTAGTTTTTGTCATAAGCCTGTTGCATCATTACCTATTATCACAGGTTTTAGCAATAGTGTCAGCAATAGTAACAGTATTACCAGTGCATTAATAGTATTAGTAGTGGGATAGTACATTATCAGCATTAAACTCACTGATAGAAGCAGCAGCGGCAGGACCACTAGCATTAGTGCTGGCAGGGTTAGCGCCATCCATCCAAATCAATAGTAGTAGCAGTTTAGTATTGTTTGGAGCACTAGTTGTATTAGCTAAAATAACAGCAATAATATCTCATAACAGTAAGGACACAGTAGACTTCAAAGGGAGATAGAAACAGTATTGAACTGATTCTTTTGAATTGTGATACAGCTGTTTAAAGCTCTTGAAACAGAGGAAATCAATGTTAATGTTACCTATTATTATTATTACTTAGTTTACCAAATACCGCCATAATTAAATCCAAAACTAGTATAAAATAAAACTCTAATCCACAAAATGTTTTATGGTCTCCAAAACCACTGTTTGGCGATTTTGTGTGTATGTGTGTGTGTCTGTGACAGAGAGATGAGGTAACTCGGTAGCAACCCACCTGTCAGGCTCTCACAAAGACCAAGAGGTCAAACTGAGAGGAGGCGAGTCGGACGATTTAAAACAACAGGAAAGTAGTTTTGAGCCGCTGTTAAACTGTTCCAAAGTGCCTCCTCCAGCTTTAGTTTGAGCTCATTTCAACATGAAGCCTATTCTCTTTAAGATTTCCTACATTCACACGTTTTGGTTTAAAACCCACATAAAATTAATTAATTTAAACTATAAAATTACTGGTCAACTATAATCTACTGATAATTTTGAGTCACTTTTGAAAAACGAAACATTTATTTCTCTGATTAAACCTTCTTAGATGTGAATATTTTCTGGTTTTGTTCATCCCTCAAGATAGTGGACGTTGACATGAGGGCAAAATAAAACATTTAAGCACCTCATCTTTGACTGTGTGGATTATAGACAAAACAACCATATGGATCCATCGACACTGAAAATCTTTCTGCAGGGTGGCAGGAAGTTCCTGTTGTTGTGAAGAGCAGAGTCTAAGCTTCATTCTTTTACGGTATGTTAATAGTTATGTGGAACAAAACAAGCTAATCAGCAAAGGAATGACGTTACCCGACCAGCAGGTGAATGTGAATGTCAGTGGACTCCGTGTCTTCCCGTCCAGACTACCACTTTACCACTTGTTCAAACTCATTTTACACTTACAGCTGCATGTAAACGGGACTCTTGGTAGAACAAAATCTTGGTTGCCTGTAAACGTACTGAACGGTATTCTTCGGGAGATCTCTGCAGCCGGCCGTCATTGGTGTCACTCAGAAACCTTATTGTGACCTTTAAATAGCCGTGATTTTGCGTCTGCTTCGCTGTCAGCTGTCTGCATCTCTAGTTGAGTGCCTCTTCTGATTGCAGCGAGTAGTGCTATGTATTAGTGCGATATTCAAATAGAGCCCATGTTTGCTCGAGGTGTGTTATTCTCTCTGTCTGAGCATTTCTTCATTTCACAGCTTTCTTGCTATTTTTTCTTTTCTTATAGACAGAGATAGCATTGTCTAGCTAATGCTACAAACTTACCCAGAATGTAAACACTCAAAATAGGAATTATAATATTTCTATTTTATCTTCGACTTAATGACCTTCAAATCTAATAACCTTTCTTTGTCTTTTATGCTAATTACCAAATGTTTGTGTGCTACCGGTCCAAACAGACATTGTCTAGACGTTTGCATTTAGCTTAAAACACAACTGTGCCTAATAACAGCTTCGCAGAGCAGTTAGCCTTGGTTACACTCCCAGAAGAACGTATACATGCCTGCATGGATGTACCACAACAGACGTGTGGTGTATACAAGTTGGAGACATTTGGAGACCTTCAGTTCTGCTGAGTGAAGCCAATACTGAAGTTGCTTTCTCTTTTCTGATCAGCAGTCTGTAAGAAGACTGGTTGTATGAAAGTCGATAATATGACTCTACTCTCTTGATTTATTCCCTCAGTAACCATTGTAAACATGAGTTTGTGATCTCAATCTCATTTAGTTTTAAGTCTTCTTCTACACAACATAATGTTCCTTAAGTAACTTATGGTCCATTTAAAGTCAAATAGACCATAAAACAAAGTATGCTTTGGGGCAGGCCTACTATGATTGACAGGTCGCTGCTGCTACCAGAGACATATACTTCTACTACTCTCTACTTCACTCCTCAGCATTCAAAATATGGTAAATGTTGTTCATTGACTGCAAAAAAACGACAGCATGGCAACAACCGTAATCCAAGATATACATATATATATCCAAGAATAACTAACAAATAGCTCAAGGCTTCATACACACCTTCCACTAAACAATGGGTGACGTCACGATAACTGCATATACGTCTACAGTCCATGGCAGGGCTGCCCAATAGCTCGATCATTGTTGGGTTTCTTATATGCTGTTACATACATTTTCTCTCTATGTGTCTAGAGACAAAGCAAACGGTACCGCTGCATCAATCTCATTCACGCATTGCAATTTTAGCTCCACCGTATATCACAGATGCAGGTAGGAAGAAATGATGGCTTGATTCAGTGGTCAGGAACAAGATTCCATTTACATGAATGTAAATTCCCAAACATGATTTGAATCTTCACGTTTAATAGGCAAATGTAAGAGGAAAGACGGAGTGCAGACTGGATTCGGTAGTGGGGGAGGGTAACTGGGCGTTCATAACACTTGCTCGTAGGATGTGTACAGTCTAAAGAGTTACATAACTTGGAGCAGACGTGCTCTCTGGCTCTCTCGTGCTTTCAAATATAAAAACATAAACAACCAATCTGTGTGTCGGATCTGCT